GCCACCTTTAGCTCACAGGAAAGAAAAAAAGGTTTCTGGACTCAAAACCACGCACACAGCATTTCACTCTGGAAGACCATTTGAGAGAGCTTAGACCAGGTCATTGCATCAGAGAGCTTTCCTCCAGCTGTGGGCCCTTGAAAACCTTCAAATCTGGAAAAGAGAGGGACTAAGCCATGTACTGGTTTACTGGGGCCATAGTAAGTTCTCTGTTGTCAGACACCTCCCACCAGTTGACCAGAGAAGGGCTGAGCCCAGGTGTGCTGGCTCAGCAGGCGGAGCAGGGTCACTTCCATCCCCTGATGTTGTACCCAGCACCTCCTCACGGCCCCTTGCCACTGTTGGGCCACAGTGGCTGCACCTTCTCCCCAGCACAGGTCCCACCACCACTGCCCCTTGTCATTCACAGAGGCTGCCCCAAGCACTGTCCTCCCAGCCACACCTGCCCTCCCAGAAACCTGGGTGGAGGCCTCTGGGATGTACCAGGAGCAAGGCAGAGGCTGACCTACACTGCCAGGCTGCCCCTTGCACTGCCCTAGTCCCAGCTGGGGGTGCAGCCCCTGCAGCCCTCCCTCTGAGGGCTGTGCCACCATCATAACCATCTTCCTCTACTTCAAAGCCCCCATTCTCACACTTCCTTCCTTCGACAATGAACCTTCAATTTCCTCCAGGTAAATAAATTGAAAACTGGAAAGAACTGTAGAACAAAGCATAAAAGTAGCTGAGCTGGGGAGTTACGGCCCCCAATGTCCCTGGGAATGGGTTTTCCTGTCCTCCTGCTGCGGTTCCTAGCCTGCTGTGTCCAACTTTGTTTGCCTTTCCTTCTCAGTGTTTGGCTGTAAGCTCTCTAACGTGCAACCTCCTCTTCGCAGGAGCATTTATAGTGATGCTAATAGGTAGAGAGGCTCCTCCCATGGCTCCGATTTTATTAATGGGAGGATCGGAGGAATTACCACATTTTTAACATTGCCTTTGCAGTAGCTATTAAGTTTCATGGTGTAGAAAGAGTGAGCTCATTTGCTCACAACACAGAGCTCTGAGGTCAATTCTTCTGTATGAGGTTTTCAGGTGCTGGGCGAGCATGTTTGTTGCTCAGTAGGTTACGTGGTATTTTCATTTGGAAGTGACATTTTGCGTGACATTTTACTTTAAAACAATAGCTGGGCAAAATTGAAATTTCAGGTCTGTATCAAAAGAGTAATGTCTATTACTTAGTCTATTTAGTAACTTGCATCGTTTATAAATTCTGCCTGATTGCATCTCTTTTCACAAAATCCAGTTAAAATGCATTTTGAAGAAGGGAGGGCGCTGGCTGGTTTCAAATGTGCTGGTTTGCAAACTTGCAGACCAGCTGTCCTACTCACTAGTGAAGATAAGAGGGCTCAGATGAAGGGTTTTGTGCTGCTGGAAACACAACCAGTTTTCTCAGGAGATTGCTTTGAGGGAGATTTCAGCAATATTGCATCCCCACAGTTACTGGTGGGTATTGCCGCACGCATGTATTATTTGTGCTAGATAAAATCAGGAGGTAGTAAAGACAGGTAAAAAGAAAGGATGAGAGATCTGCTGTATAGGTTTTTTTTCCTTTCTTTTTCTATTTTTTTCTTAGGGAGAAAAAAGTGTCCAGGGGATGCCACATTAACTTGGGGAGAAGCGAGTGCTGCTTTAAATCAGAAAATTTGTGTTATACCAAGTGCTTTATTTTGGGAACCATTTCAGTATGTTATGAAGGAAAGTTGCAGACTAGGCATGTTTACTAGACCTTTAATTGCTACATTTAGGAGAAAGGCGCTTTTTTTCTTCTTCTTCCCTCCCCCCTCCCCTTTTTAACGACAAGAAGCCAGAGTTTGCTGTGCAAATGAAGCAGGCTTTGCAAGAATCAGATTCACTTTGGACGACTCTTCACATTCCTCGTCATCATTACATTAGGCAGCACAATTCCATCTCTGGTTGATGGGCAGAAAAAGTGGGCAGCCTGCCAGGTAGACGTTTCCATGGCTCCCAACCCCCAAAGGTGATGCGTTTTTCAGCTAATTCAATGAAGAGTGGGCTGAACTTTGGGTATAAACTAGACAATAGCTGCCTTCGCAGTATCAGCAGAATGGTTTATGGGAATGCACTCCACATTTGGCAGAGCATCATGTGACCTTACGGCTGAGATTTTGTGATGGTGCCAACGGAGACTTGGAAAGCGGTGCCCGTTCTGACTTTTTTCCTCTTTTCTTACATGGCTCAGAAAATGGTGGATCTTAATACTTGACTTTAGCCAGACTCAGCAAGCGATTGAGCTTTGAAGCACAACTTTGCCTTTATTCTGGCTTTTTTGGCACACCACCAGGAGGCTGTCCCTTTCACGCCTGATAAATTCTGCTTCTTATCTCCAAATAGAAAAAAAAAAAAAAAGAAAGAAAGAAAATATAAGCAGAATATTTATACTCCATAACTGCGTTTTAAAACTACGCGTTTTATTTTTTTTATTGATGGTGTGTAGTTTAGAGGGTCTCAAGGATAGAAGTTGTTTTTTTTTATTTTTCTGGTGGCTTTTTTTTTTTTTTTCCTTCCTCCTGTTTAATGAACAGGCGTTTGAACCGGGCAAACGGGGCGACAGCATTGAACATGAGCTCATTGCAGCGTAGTGTAGCAAACTGGCACCCTGCCTTTTCACCCCTTTGCTCGGGCAGATTTGTGCAATCCCCATTTATAAAACCGGCGCAGGGGCGAGGTGAATTTTCTGGTCTCTCCCCACCTCTTGTCCTGTGCAGGCAGTTGCGGCAAGGATTGGTGCAGCTTTTGCGCAGTGCTTTGTGCCTGGAATTCCGAGAAGAGCGAGAGAGAGAGAGAAGACAGGCATCCTGGTCTTCTTCCGAGAAAGAACAGGAGCCCTGAGAAGAAGAAACAAATCTGAGTTTGTCCTACATACAAGAGTGCAGGAAAGAAAAAAAAAAGTGACTCTCCTGCTTCCAAAAAAAAAAAAAAAAAAAAAAAAATCTGGCATGTTTCACTACAGAGGCATCAGGACATGTTAGAGCTGCTTAAAACAGTGTAACAAAATGAACATAGGAGATTTTAAGTAAAAAAAACAAAGAAAGGAAAAAGAAACGAAAAAAGAAAGAAGGAGTGAATTTTTTGTTTGTTTGCTTGTTTTTTTCACTATTGCTCATATAGCAGTATTTGGCACTGAGTGAAAACGTACCTTTCATATCAGGTATAGCTTCTGTTTCTTTTTTTCCTCTTTTTCTTTTTTTTTTAAGTTGTTTTAAACATGTTGTTTTGCAACTGAGTTCTTGTGTATTAATTTTAACGTAGTCAGATGTTCACACTTTTTAAAACTAACTTTTTGGGTGTGTGTTTGATCTAATACTGCTGAAAATAGAAAGTAAACAAAAAAAATTGAGGGTCTGTAGAAGTTGTTAGGCACATTTTCTCTTAGCTAAGCACTGGAGTTATGCAAAGACCTTAATGTTACATTTACTCAGTTGAAGCTTTGGTTATCTCTGAGAAAGTTGTGGGTATTTAGATCCGGTTGCTAAGGAAATTAAATTCTTTTTTTACAGTGTGACTCATACTTTCACTTTCTAAAGAGGAGAAGTGGAAAAAAAAAAGTGTTAAGCTGCAGGAAAGGATCGCTCTTGTAGCCAGTATATTAAAGTTGTTATTGGGTTAATTCATATATGAGTTTCTTACAGTTTGTATCTAAATCCTTTACAAAGAAATCAGTGTGATAAGCACTGGAATAAAAGGCACATTATTGGGACATTCATGAAGTACGCCTGGTCTGCAGCTAGTAACAGTGACTATTTTAAGATGTTCGGTAAAGCAGCACTTGTCCAGGAATAGCTGAAAATAGTATTTAAAATACCCATTCAGAATGTTTGTGATAAGTGCATGTACAGTTAAAGTAAGTTTTGAGCATGTGACGCTTTAGTAGAGCTTTTTTCTTAAGGCGTTTGTCTGTCTGTTGTAACATATTCCTAGGCAATTAGAAGAGTGTGTAACAAAATTCATTCTGACTGACAGATTTTGAAAAGCTCAGCCAAATCGGTGTTTTGTGTAGTTTGGATTTATTTTTTTTTATATATTTTCCTAGTCTTTTTAATTTATGTTAAAAATACAGATGTCCTCAGCTTGAAATTACTTTGAAATTACAGTATCTCTTTCATCAGAAACTCCTATAGTTTGTTTTTTTTTTTTCAAAATGTTCATGATGTGTGTGTGTCTAATAAAAAGCTTTATAAATGTGTTATGACTTTACAAAATAGAATTGTTTTAATGTGTACTTCATTTTTTATACATTACTGATTAGACAGTAACTTCTAAGATTATATGCCAATTTTGCTACTTTATATTTTTGTTGTTCTGCAATGAATTCTGGGAAATTGCTGAATAGAGACCTTATATATATGACACATAAACCTCCATATATCCATTTTGGACCAGAAAGTATTTCTGAGATTTATGGTGATCCTACCCTCCCCAATAGTTTTGTTGGAATAGTTTTGTTTGTCATTCGTACCTAAGCCTGTTGAGAAACCAAGGCTTGCATTAGCTTAAAATAACTTTTCAATATTCTCTATTTGGTCATACTAATCACTTTCCCCCTCCCATAATTTTTTGTAAATGTTTTTTGATTTAAGCCCCATACTTTATCCCAGTATTTTTGTGAAGTTCCGGACCAAATTACCTAATTGTATTCATTGTCTGATAAAAAGTACTTCCTTTTAAGTTTGCTCCTTCCCTTCCAAAATTCCTAATACAAATTAAGTATTTGCGGGGTGAAAAAAGCCTAGGAAATAGTAAATGAAAGATTCCCTTTGCCAACGTGTGCGTGTTCACAGCATGTCTTCCCATGGCCCTGAGGAGGGGCGTCAGCAGTGTGTCGGGTTTATATCTTAAAAGCATAATTACTAATTTTGTGTATGTTTCGTGTTGTTCAGAAAACACTTCACAGAAAGCAAATGTTTCAAAATCTTTCTCTCGCCTTTTTTTTTTTTTTATTTTAGTGAAAGAAAAAGTAAAAATGAAAAAAGAAAATGAAGAAGTTAATTATACCAGAAATCAACGAAGGTAACACAGTGATCTTGAAATTTCTTTTGTTAAAAAATAAAGCTATTAGCAAGAATATGAAGCAGTTTAGGTTTTAATAAATTATTTCCTTAAGAGAGCCTACAAATATAATTTCAGATATGTGTATTACACTTTTGTTCTTGTTACTTTCTGTTGGTAATGTTGGAGTTTATGTAGCTGTAGCTGTACAAAGCTGTAGCTTTATACTGTATGTTTACATGAAGTTTTAGAATTAATTGAAAAATTAAAACATAATTTGTTTTTTGGTTATGCCTAGGAAATATATCATATATATATAATATAATATATATAATATATATATAATATAATATAATATATATATATGATATATTTCCTAGTATATTCATGTCACTAGTATATTTATAATACATATTTTTTTTTGCTAGTGTGTAACTATAACACAGTGACCAATTAGTTTTGAAATGCGGAATATCTCTTCTATTCACAAAAAAAAAAAAGAAAATTGGAAAAGCAATTTTACAGTGCTTATGAAACCATTCAGTAAGTTGTATATGCAGTCTGCATACTTATTTCTGATACTAGGATAGCTCTTCTAGTTTGAAGTCCTGTCTTTACATATTCTATCTCCTCAGTGTCAGCAGAAAACATCTATAAAAATACCATTCCTTCTGAATGCTGAAGTGTTGCACATGAAGTGAAAGCAGGTTTAAAAGAGATTGTTCTAGAAAAATAAAATAATATTATTTTAAAATGCAAAAGGGTGTGCTTGAACATGCAATATTTAATCCAGCAAGTTTAAAAAAAAAGAAAAGGAAAAGGTAATTCAGTAATTTACAGCCATCATTACTGAACTCAAAATACATGTTGCAGTCTGCAAGAAAATGAAGCATTGCCCTGACAAAAAAACTTTGCTATTGACAACATTTATTTTCCTAGAAGGAATTTTACCCAACTAACAATGGCAGAATTAGGCCTTTGGTGGAAACTAGTGGAAGCAAGGCATTAAGATGGTATTGAGACGCAGATTTCAGTAACCTGCTGAAATCAAAAGGCACCTTTTTATAGCACCTGGTTTTAAAATTATACCTGTATCTTATGCCTGTATTTTACAAATGCATTTGTGGTGGTATTGTTAAAAGTTATTCTGATGTGTGAGATGTTCTGCTTCAAAGTGCAGTGTTTGTTAGTGCTTTCATTTAGAATATGAAAGTTATAAAACTGTCCATGTCTCACCTTTCTGAATTACCGGTTATTACTCCAAAGGACCTGTTTTCAGTCTGTTGTGTGGAGTACCCCTGCTTTTAGTGTGTGATAATTTGTATACTATGCTTGCCAGTCACAAGGAGGAAGGATTTGTTGTAGGCATTAACCCTGGAGTTTTACAAGATCGCATTTCCACTTGCATTCCTATTATTAGGGAATCGCATTGATGGGAGGATTAGTGAATAAAATATACAAATCAACCTCTTTGCTTTGATTAATAGCCGTTGTTTAATCAACAAGTTATTGTCAAGCAGTATGTAAGTTGGTGTAAGTTGAAGAAATAGCTAAGCAGTCTTCGTAATGTCGTATGGGAGCAGCACTCCAGTGTGCCTCACGCCTTTCGGATTTGGGAGGGTGATTTTTATTTTGAGTTGCAGCACATGATATGAGCTCAGACACAAAGGACAAACCTGTATTGTTTACTTCTATGTCATGTCCAATTATTGATTCCAGTCTTGCCTGCTGTGTGCACGCTATAGTCAGGTGCAAGTTGGGAGTTGAGGATTCATTGTTGAAGGCAAAGGGTGCGCAAAAGGATGTTAATTCCTGCTGAAGACAAACAATGCTGTGCCATCAATCTGTAAAAAAAGTAAAATAGGTTTTCTTCCATTTTCAAAAAGAAATTAGTTACAAATCATTGGCTTGTTTGTTGCCTCCTCCATTTATGCAGTTAAGCTTGAAGCAGCCTTCTTTGCAGTAGATGGTAATACTTTCAATCTCAAATACTCGTTCTTATATCACATCATGTGTTTGTTTGTTTAAAGTCTTCTGCGTCTCTCTTTAAAAGGAAAATTGTAATCAGCGATGCCAATTGGCATAAACCCGTAGATCCGATCTTGTGTTGAAACGCACTGCACAAGCTCGCTTCTATGGGTCTGTGTCAGTGTGGTGATCTGGCAGAGGTCTGTGTAGCACACACCACAGTGGTGTCTGACAACAAGCCCAAATGAGTGTACAGGACTATACTGGGTTTGTCCATTGCCTTATCTTCAAACTTGATTAAGTGATTTGTTCTTTTATCGGTTGCTTTGAGCACACTTGGCATAATATCTTATTAAAATTTAGAAAGAAATGTGAGGTAATCGTAGGGTTTCCAAAGAGGGAGTGTAGGATATACCATTTCCTGGCTTTATTAAATATACCACTACATGGTATTACACTCAAAAAAAACGTAGAAAAACCAAGAAGATTTTTGTATTTTATTCTTATTGTAAAATAAGGCCAAATATCAATTTCTTTCCAGAAATGTATTTGGGCTTGCATCATTCCCATCAAATATGTATGTATATATATATATATATATGCACACAACACACGTATATATCTTTATACATATATAAACAGCATAGAACAGAAATTCTACCTCTGCAGTAGAAAAACCTATCTAAGAACATGTCTTTTTGTCTGAAAAGTGGGGAATAACTGCAGTTGAAAGCCTACCCCCCTGGGAAATATATAGGCCTATTTCAAAGAAAGGCTGAAGAAGTGAAGAAGACTTTATGGTCACCGTCGGAAGCTGTGTGCATCCGGGTTGAGGTAGTAGGTTGTATGGTTTAGAGTTACACCCTGGGAGTTAACTGTACAACCTTCTAGCTTTCCTTGGAGCACACTTGAGCCATCGAGGAATTCATCACCACTTTAATCTGATCAGGGAAAGTATGCAAAAAAGGTATTGTTTCATGGCTGTACATAATGAACACTGAGGCTTTACTGATGTTGAAATAGTCCTGATGACTTGATTATTTCATTTAAATCCTGTTATGAACAATGCTGACATGTTGTCTTAATGGGCTGTGACTATGTACTGCAGACACTTAAGGAAAGACTGATGATTATTTTCATGACATTAACAGGAAAGCTTTAAAAGTTTATTTTGGCTTATAAATTCAGGAAAATATCAAGTATTTAATGCTTCGTTCTTTCTTCATGGAAACAGCTTGTTTTTTTCATTTCTGATGTTACATGGGTGCACATTTTTTTAAAAAATGAGGAATTTTTTTCTCTCCTTATAATACTTTCCAAAAAGTATTTCATGCTGCTGCTTGGATAGTAGCAGGCAGTGTCACAAGTTGATCCTGGTCTTCCTTGGATTTACAATATTCTTGCTTTGTGCCTGAACAACTCGGTGTTTTAAACTCAGATCCAAATGACCTGCAGACCCACCTGTGTTCCCACTTTCTGGAGATTCATGTGCTGCTCAGCCCAGCCCCACTCTGGGATCTCAGTCCCCATGTCCTTTACACAGCATGTGAGGCTGACCCTGAACCACAATGCCTTTGTCTTTTTTGGCCCAGAATTAAGTTCTGGTGCATCTTCCCAACTCAGAAGGACTTGGAGAAGTCACATTCCCTGTGTGAATGGTTCCCAAAGCACTAGGAACTGATGACAGTGGCACTTCCCAGCACTGGGTGCTTTTACCCGTGTGGGCCAGGTGCTGTAGACAAAATCATCCTTCCTTAGTCCCAGTGTTCTCTGTATGTTTGTGTAACTTTTCTTAAAAAAAATCCCGTAAGATCTGTACATCCCATGAGCAGGTGTCCTAACCAAAAGAGAAAAAGAACTGAGTGTTTTTGCAGTTTAACCATTCCCAGTAAAAGCTATGGAGCAAGAAGGAAAAAGACTGTGCCTACATATTCATCATGATTTTTTTAAGTGAGAGCTGCTTCTGAAAATGACCTCAAAGATGAGGTCTCCTGAATGTGATAGAACACACTGCTGCCAAAGTCGAAGCATCTGGACAAGGCTCATTCCAAAATAGTTGGGAAAAACTGATACTGAATGTTTCCACATACTTTTCCATAAAAAGTAAAATGAGTATTATTTTCAAGAATATTAATTTATAATTTAAGACCGTAATAGTGATAATTTTGATGGAAAATGATTTAAGTTTGTTGATATACAGAAAAAGAGTGGAGCAACGCCCCTGTGGTGCTCTACTCAGGGGGATACCACTGATGTGGGCCATGGGCAGGCCAGACTCCCATGGGATAGGGAAAGTGTGAAACATGGCTGTTCCACATGGGGTGAGGGCTCTGGTCCTGGAGCTCCCAAGTTAACAGCAAATAGTTCTTTCTTCAGGGTATTTTGAACCCCTGCATTTCTGGCTTTACTTTTATTGGAGGTGAACATAACAATATTTCCAGTGTTTCATTAGTTTATGTTCTGCATCAGCAAGTAAAGTTAAGAATGTTTATTTTAAGTGGATTTGACAATTGATTGTGTTTTGGTTATTGTTTTCTTTCCATGTCTGTCTATTCAAAAAATCAGTTGCTTACAGGCCCCTGTTTGACTCTTTCTATCTCAGCTTAAGACTTACCTTACCACTCTCCTAGATAAGGAATCAAAAAGGAGATGAAAATAGATTTAGTCTCTCTTTTTAACAGCATTTATTTTCGGTGGTGATTGTTTGTGATAGAAAATTGGTAAAGAGGTGGATGCACAATGGATTTTAAGCCTAACTTAAAGTATGTGGGAGAGAGGAGAGATGAGGTTGAGTGAATCAAAGCTACTCCAAGTTAATGGAAAATGCTTAAGGGAGCAGTGGCTAAATGGAGGGATAGAGAGGAGACCTCCATCAACCAATGAAACTTAACAGGGACCATTCTCAATCTAAATAAAAACTGTCATATCCTCTGTGGATTCAAAAGGACCCTGGTCACCAGTATGTTTTCTTCTTTTTCTATTTTAATTTTTTTCTTCTGTAGTTTAAGTTCACTGGAAAGAAACATTGTAATTGCTGGTTTCTGCCAACAGAG